TGTCCTTGTAGTAAATGTGCATAGACATCCTGTTCACTGCCATATATTGTTGCTTTCTGTTTTTTTATAGATTCATCTTTTTGTTTTATTTTCCTTTCTTTCATCACATTATTTATATGTAAGAGATGTATTTCATCTCCATACCTTTTCATACTTCTTCATAGTCATATAGGTATCTATCACATCCTGCTGCAAAATAATGTTGAGTGTTAAAACACAACTTGAAACACTCTATTTTTTGCATCTATAGTAGCTCATTTGGGCTTTTATATATTACCACTTTAGTTAATAAATTCTTGTCTATATTATTCTTGATTTCTAAGAGTTCTTCTATTTTTGCTCCATAACACTTGTTAGCTGCTAAGTTTTCTAATAAGATTATAACATCAGTATTTGCAGTTTGTCTCAGTATAGCTTCCAAGTTTTTCTTAATATGATCCTTTTGGATCCCTTCTTGTATTGGTATTGTGTTCCTCGAGGCTTTTGTTTCTATATACAATATATATACCTTGCTTTCTATTGTGTATACGTGCTTTATTTCTTCAATTATTCTAGATTTCTTCAATTATTCTAGATTTCTTCATAGGTTTTTGGCAATTTTTTAAAGATTTGTTTTTATAGTTTTTCTTGAACATTGGATGCCTTTTCCTTTTTGTTTGCCTGAATTCTCAAATTCATTCAGGTCGGTAGTTTCTGATGAAATTTCTGAGCTGGATGCCTCACTAGACTTATTAGAATCTGACTCTTCTGTTACACTGATATTCTCAGACTCAGATAACTTAGGTGAGTCGCCACTCCTTAGAATATGTTTTCCTTTTTTTTTGCCAGATGTAGACTTATCTTGCTATTTAGCTTGCCATTATGCTGCTAAATAGAGCTGATCATCTGTTTGCTTGTGGTTTAGCTATCTTTAGTTTGTTATGGGTAGACTTCATAGTAATATAAATTTCTCAGATAGTTTGATTGTTATCCCCAGTTGCTGTTTAGTTTTGTTTAATACTAAAATGTATTTTAAGTATGATCCTAGTACATCTATTTTAATATTTGTAAAGAAGTGCTTGTCGATTTTTATGTTGACAATTGCTTTTCCAATTATAGTGACATTGTTTGATTCTATGCTTTAGCAGTTAATTTTCTTGTATAGAATTTAAAGTGTTGTTTGTTTTTCTTTAAAAGGTCTAAGTGGTTCTTTCCTATTATTGTGCAAGTTGATCCTTCATCAAGTTTGAATTCCATAGGTATATTATATATTTTTTCATAAAAGTAAAATTCTTTTACTCCTTTAGGGTCTAATTTAGTTTCAACAGTTTCTTTGGGCCAATATAAAGTATTTGTGGCAGAGTAATCATTTATTTTGGTCAAAGGCTTAGATACTTCTTTATTAATATAATATATTTTATTATATAAATTTGTATTATCTTCATTTGAAGTATTTTGATTAAACTTTGTGATATAGTCTATTG